TATGGGTATTCACATTTAAAAGGAATTAAATCAATTTTGTCTGCAGATTCGACCAAACAAGTTGGTTCTATGATATTCAATATCATTAAAAAGTAATAAGGTTTACCAAAAGGGCGCAACACTATTATATTTGTTCCAATTATGATAACAGCTAATTTGAAGTAAGCATCATCAAAAAGCTGTGATACACAATGAGAACTGCCAAAGTAGGATTGTTTACAGTAATGTTCAAGTTTTTAATTTAATACATAATTTGTGATATTGTGTAAATGTTTGATAATTTAATTTTTTATATTGTTTAGGTTCAGTGGTAGAACAGAATGGCTATGGTAGATGTGTAAGGGAGTACGTTTTTATCTGTAGTAATACTATACCGTATATACTATACTATATTTGTAATACTATAGCATACCGTAAAAATATAAGGAAAACAATTCTCTTATCCTTGCCCATTGCAAACGCAAAGCTAGAGTATAACAACTGCAATACGCATTTTATACTTATACACCAACCCCGTACGAAGAACGGGTACTCTGCTAGTAGGTAATAAATTGTAAAGTATACATATTAGTGTTAACAGCTGTTCTGCATCTGTCTAACAGCAAATTTCACTGGCAGCCATGTTGTGGGCGTGGCTATAGCAATAGTAGGGTAATTACATTCACCTGGAATACAGCATATGTTTCATGAGAAACCAAAGAAAGAAATGTTTTTACAATATAAAGTATGGTGGCATTTTACAAAGATAGTTTTCGAAGGCAACTGGTATACATACAGTGGACGTGTATATAGCGCCTACCAGATATTTTAATGAGAGTAGGCAGTTTGACAGGCAGGAACTGCGCCAAAGGGTCCGGGTAACCTACCGAAACTGCGCCACAAACTTAAGTTTGACATGTAGACGCGCGCTAATAAGGATGTAGACAGTCGATACTCGACACACGACCGACGCGCCTGTACAATGTACATGTCCATAGTTAAAATAAAAGTAGTCATATTGCGCATTTATGTGTTTTAATCATCAATGTTGTAAGTTTAACGTTTGTGTATGTGTCTTTAAAACTTTAAAACGCACCTGTAATGGGAAAGTTCAAGAACTCATATTAGGACTGATGATGGTGATATCATTCGCCTAAATGAATCTCCTGTGCAGGGCCCAACAGGATCAACCGGCGGACTTAGGTAATTTAACATTTTATTGATAGTATTATTTAATACTAAAATTATTATAAATACAACTAAAAATAAAGAAACTGTTTGCCACCCAGTCTTAAGCATCTCTACTTTGAGGCTTTTAATATATATTAGTATACTATTAAGCCCACAAATAATAATAATATCCAATTTACAGAAAAGTTGCTGAAATAGTAAATTTTAAAGTAGTTAGATTTTAAGCATTTGTAAAAGTATTTTTTAGTGTTAAATTTTGTCGTCGTAGCTGCTGCAGGTCGATTAGCACGTGATGTAATTGATTATGTTTGTTAGTCATTATCGATAACTTTTGAAGGTCACCTGCTGAGATACTGACATTACGTTACTCACCAAATGTATATTATGATGATGATACGGCTAAGCTTGTATTGAATAATATTCATTTATACTTACACATTATATAAAAATTGCATTATTTACAAGACTTTAAAGTATGATGCACAGGACAAATAAAAAAAAATTATGTGTGGACATTCTTGTTATGTGTGGACATTCTTGTTATCATAAAAAATAACTGAAAAAATAAGTAATTTTTTATAGTTAATAAACACATTTTTACAGCCCCACACTCTGATACTGGGGCGTGTGAATCAAGCAAAGAAAATATAAATAAGCTTTATTAAAAAACATACAAGAATCATAAGAGAAGAGTGTAGGCCAATATGCGGTACACAGCACTATGCCACGTCCCCATCGCCTTGGAAACTGTCTTCCAGAACACCTGGACTTCTTCTCCATGTCCGATGAAGTCTTTAGAAATGGGCTGAAGAGTTTCTACGCTTAGCTGCTGTTGAGATCATTATACTGTTACTTGCTTTTTTGTTTCTTTATCATTGTAGTTGTTGTTTAAGTGATTTATTTACTGTTACTTGTTTTAGCGAATTTCCCATATAGGGAATAAGCTATTACCGTAGTACTCATGGTAAGCCCTGGACCCGAGACCGATTTAATTTTTCATTTTGAGGTCCCTAGAGGCCAAAAACACCATCCGTTCAAATTCATATATATATATATATATATATATATATATATATATATATATATATATATATATATATATGTGTCCGTTAGCGCGATAACTCGAGCAAAAATGATCTGATTTTGATGAAATTTGGTACAAAAATGTAAACCTACGTTTATTCAAACGAGTTCGCGATCCAGCATAATCGGACCATGGGAACGGGGGTTTATGGGGGGTTTTATGGGGTAAAAATGGGTTTTTCCCATTTTTGAACCTAAAAACTAAAAATTTTGCGATTTCTTTCCAAACCGTTTTGTAGAGCTTAAAAAAAGAAATAATTTAGTATATTGAAGTGCTGTTGTATGCCTAACGGTCACGGAGAAAATTCAAAAATAGTGTAATTAAAAATTCCCATGTTATTCTTATGGAGAAAATGAAAATTGTTGTAGTTTACTTGTTTATGGGTATATATTGATAAAATTTGGCAAATTTATTTATTTCATCCTATACTATTGACGTATGGTCAAAAAACACTTTTTACCTTCCCCGTAGCAGCAAACCTAAGCACTCGTTAAATCTAATGTTATTTAAATAGGGAATAATATGTCTTATTTATGGAAATATTTTAGTAAAAATGTAATCAGACGAGTTGAAATTCGCTTAGTCTGCAGGTTTGCTGCGGCGGGGGTATTTTGATTCTTTATCTTTGTTAGATAATTACCAAATTTGTTGTTCCCCATGTTGATTGTTAATTATTGTTGTTATTTATTGTATTTACTGTTATTTATTGTTATTTTTGGTTATTCATTGTTATTTATTTGTTATATACAGGGTGACACAAAGGAACCGGATGTTTTTTAAACAGCTGTTCCATTGTTGTTGCACGTGGTAGGAAGATTGAAGTTATGTCATTACCTTCAGTGAGGCTTGCCATTTTTGTTGAAATGGCTCAGTGGACTCTAGACCATCGCGTTTTCGCATACAATACTTTGGTCCAAAATGGCGAATTCGTCGTCAAATCCAGCGGGAATTTAGTCGACATTTTAATATTGAACGCCATGGAACGGTTCCAAGCCGAAATACGCTATTAGGATGGGTTTCAGGATTCCGAACAACTGAGAATATAACAAGAAAGAAACCACCAGGCCTTGTTAGAACTTCGAGAAAATCCGAAAACATCGCCAGAGTGAGAGCAGTATTGAATGAATGTTTCCTAACAAGGTGATTTCTCACTTTGGTAACATGCCGTGGCCGCCAAGATCATCTGGCTTGTCCACTAGTGATTATATCCTTTGGGGGTTTCTTAAGGAGCGTGTTCATGTTCATAAACCACGCACTCTAGAGGATTTGAAGTTTGCAATCACAGAAGATATCAATGGCATTGAACCTCCTGACCCAAGTTTCAGAGGATTTTCAGACCAGAATGAACATTTGTAGATAAGTACATGGCCGCCGTATGCATGACGTCATTTAAAAAAAAAGACGGGTTTGTAACAAATGGCAAATGTTTCCCTCACTATGTACAGTATTAAAACCAGTTTATTCCTTTTAACTACTGTGTACTACTTTTTTTAAAAACGTCCGGTTCCTTTGTGTCACCCTGTATATTGATATATTTTTGATACATTCTTATTTATTAGGGTTTTTTAGTCAGGTCATCTTCATGTTATGTATGAAATGTTCTATGTAAGTCTGAATGAAACGTCTTGCCATCATTGTATGTTTATGAAAATGAAGTTTTCCGTCTGTAAATAAAAAAATAAATAAATAAATATAGTTTATTTCAACATTAGAAGACACTATGAACGAGTATATACTTTAGATTGCGTAATCTATCGTTTTATTATAATATACAGTAGATTGCACAGTTCGCTCACAAATAAGTAACCCAAAAGTTAATATACAGAATGTCCCGGACTTCTCTACCAATATTTTAGGGCATTGTTCCTGGGCAAGAATAATTTATAAATATCATTATTTAAATTGCATGGAAGTCCTTAGTTACTCACACAGTCGCCATTTTGTTTGTTCACTTATTAATATGTTTATGAAAAGTGGTTGAACATATAAAATTGAAACTTTGCACAAACATTTATGACATCTAGACAAAGCTACAAAATATTATTACAATTTTCCAAATTCATAAAACAAAATGGTGGGCATTTACAATTTTGTTTCTTAAATAACTCAAAAACCGTGGATTTTACAAAAGTTTTACAAAAATAACTTTTTTAAGGCAATAGGTTTTCTTTGAAAAGACACATAATGACATACTACGTGTTGATTTCCTTTCATATGTAACTAATTTAATAAGCCCAATAATAATTAGCTATACGCACATTTTTTCTCCATTTAAAATTGTAGGTAAAATTATAATGAAGCTTGATGGTGAGGGTCAATGACAAAATTATGCCCTGATAACTCCGCTCAATTTTGTAGACACCTCTGCGATTACCACCTAGTTAGATTTAGGTTATTGGAAATTGAGTATCTACTGGCATTATTTATGCTTTATATAAAATATTTTGATAAACAATATTTATTTTAAATATTTTATCATCTTTCAGGGGCTGACCTTGTTCTTGAGTTTTCTACAAGTATTCTAAAACCGTCAATGGACTTAACCCGAAATTGCATTAATGTCTACTGTCACTTAATTTTCACTCTCTTTTAATTTCTGTGTAACACCTCTTGAGTGTGGGTAAATCATTAATTGAAGTACAGTTTTTAATTCACTCGACCAATTGCAGTGAAACAGTTTGCGAGACCCTAAAATTTTAGTGCACGGAATACATTTATGATCTATGACTTGTTGTGCACACCATGTTTTAGTCAAATAGATTATACCACTGACAGGTCATTAATTGTAATTTTTCACTCACTGATTAGACAGCAAAACTACGTACATTCAACTATACGTGTGCGAACAGTTCGGTCCATTCTCCTGTACCATATTTACTTCGGTTCTTGTATCATTTCTGGTAAGATTTGATCTTTATCTAACCATATGCATTAATTATCTTGTTCATAATTTCTAACTTTTAGTGTTATTTAATGAAACTCCTGTTAGCGGATTATTGTTGAATAATTTTGCTTCTATATCCATTTTTCAGATAGAAATATTATAGTTTTGACTTTATTCTTGAAATGCTCTTTATTCAAAGGATCATTGTTTAATCTGTGTATAAGTGAATGAAATGATATGAATGAATGAAATGATGAGTGAGTGAAATAAATGATCCTACGCGCATATCGGGCAATACCATTAGTTTAATTGACCATATTTATTTTAGATCGCATGATAATATTATTAACAGTGGTAAGGTTATTCCATTAGGCTTAACCGATCATGATTGTACGGTCTGCAACCTTAGTGTTTTCATCATTTGACCAATATCAACTCAGATAAACTTAATCAGTACCAGAAAGTTTATTATATTATGTTAAGACGCTTAGCAGAGTGTACAGATTGGTCCTTTGTTGTTATTTGTAACAACATTTATGAAGTTTTTAAACTGTTTTTGGGTCGTTTCTAGATATAACAAATAGTTCTACTCTCTGTAGTTAAAACAACGTTAAATACTTAAACCATGGATGACATATGCTTTATGTAAAAGGCAACTTGCTAGAAATGCATTGTAAAACAAAGTTAAAAAATACCCACAAAACACAAGATTAAGGACATATTTTGATACATTTTCGAGAAGGCTAAAGGCTGATATGAATACAAGAAAAGAACAGTATTACGAAAACCTGTTTGGTTCAAACAAAAATAATATGAAAAAACAATGGCGTACTGTTACTTTACTTTATATTTTATACTTTCTTATGAAATGGCGACCATACTATGTAGGTATTTTAAGCCGAGTATGAATGGAGATGAGTGTAGGATGAGTGGCACGATATTGTAGTCTTGTTAGTGACTAAGGCCGACATTCCTTAGACTCAGCTGTTAATTAATAGCCCAAACAGCTAATGGAAACTAAGGGACCTACAGTTTATAGTGGAATCCGAACCACATTTTTTCCTTGGTATATACGAATTGGTCTAATTATCAGGATAGTACTGCGGATAGTAGTAGTACTCACTAGTGCGGACGTTAATCCACACCAGGGAGTATCCCATCCACAGTGCATGCCTATAAATATCCACAATCCGAGACCTCCAAGTAGCTGGATTACAGGACGACGCCACCCGTCCCAGTCTATGTGTTAATAGCATATTGGGTGACAATGATTTAAGCAAATATATTGCTAGTGTTTATTCCCGTACAAATCCTTACTACCTCATAAGTGATCCCCGGGAAATAGCTGATGAATTTAATATTTTTTTTTATAAATGTTATATAAATGTTATAAATGTTTGCTTAATGGGTTAGACGCTTTGAATGGGGTTGATGTTACCAATTATTCACAACGTGTTCCATTGAAAACAATTTAAACTCTTTATTTTTGGTACCAACAGACTCGGAAGAGTTAACTAGGATTATTATTAAGCCTAAATTCCAATAAGTCACCTGGTATTGATGGTGTTTCTGCAGCTATGCTTAAGTCAGTTCATGATCTAATTGCACCAGCTCTTGCCCACATTTTTAATCTTAGTATGGAGTTAGGCATTTTTCCAGATGAGTTAAGCTGCTGTGGTAATTCCTTTACATAAAAAAGGGGATATTAGAGACTGTAATAACTATAGACCAATATCCTTACTTTCAGTGTTCTCTAAAATTTTTGAAAAGTTGTTAAAGTATCGACTTGTAAAATTTTTAAACTTAGCTAGTTTTTTTTAGTAATGACCAGTTTGGTTTTATAAATGGGAGATCTACAGAAGACGCGTTGTTACAGTTCTGTTCTCAAATTGCTGATGGTCTAAATGTTAACAACAATGTGTGTGGTGTGTTTGTTGACATTAAAAAGGCCTTTGATTCAGTTGATCACACTATACTTCTTTCAAAACTTTGGAATGCAGGTGTTCGAGGAGTTGCTTGGAATTGGTTAAGTGGTTAATCTGTCCGGTAGATCTCAATGTGTTAAGCTACAGAAGGTCACTAGCTCTAGTTTGTCCATAACCTGTTGCGTCCCCCAGGGTTCGGTGCTTGGTCTTATTTTGTTTTTAGTTAATATCAATGATTTAGGTACAGGAACATTTTTTGGAAGAATAACTTGTTTTGCCTATGACACGGTTCTTAGTTACTCTCATAAGGATTCAGCCCTCTTAATGAGACATATGCAAGAAGATTTTGATGAATTAAAAATCTGGTTCACCTCAAACAAAATGGCCCTGAGTGACAATACTAAGTACTGTACATTCGATTCTCCTTGAGGAATAGAACCGATGTAGTAGATCAAAGACTACTTTATAAATGTTTACACTGTCTACATGGAGTACCGGCTTCCTTTTGTAAGGGTTGCATGGACATTCAGAAAATTAAAGACATTAAATATCTTGGTCTCACAGTCGATGAAAATGTTAGCTGGAAGCCCCACGTAAATAATCTAAAGAAATATCTATGGTCTTGCCTAAGGACATTTTATTTGCTAAAGTCTTGCTGTCCTCGATCTATTTTAAGAACTGTATATTTTGCTTTGGTGGATCCCAAACAGCAATATGGCATATCATGTTGGGGGGGTATTTACCATTCCAGTATTATTCTTTTGATTGTAGCCCAAAAAAATATCGTAAGGTTGATTATGGGTGTAGACAGGCAATGTTCTAGTTTTCCCTTATTTAAATCTCTAAAAATCTTTCCACTAAGACACCTATTTGCTTTCAGAGTACTACGAATATTTTTTATTAGATCTGGCCACGTTTTAGGAAATCAACAGGTTTATTCTGATAGACTAAGATCTAGAAATTTTGTTGTTACTCCACACCCTTATAATGATTGTTTTGACGCTTTTTTAGTTTTCTGGCCCCAAAGTTATTTAACCTTCTCCCAAAGGATATTTGTTTGAGTGCTAGCTCTAAAATATTTGTAAATAGGTTAAAGAAGTGGCTTTTTACTTTTCCTGGAGTTGAAACATTATTGTCCAAGTTGTTGTAAATGGAAGTACACATGTTTTGATTTTTTCTGTACTGCATTTTATTCTTATTATCTATCACTTTAATGTTTTATTTGAATCTGTGGGAAAACGTTTATTTCATAGTTTTAAATTATTTTGATACAAATTTGCCATAATTTATGTTTCATTTTTATATACAGCATAATGTACTGTTTTTGTTCTCCAGTACGTCTTTTAGATTGTCATTTTCAATTTGTATTGGTTAAAACTATGTCTTGTATTCTATGTAATGTATATTGTTTGTCAATTGTTATTTTGTTGTATTGTTGAATGAATAAAGATATTTTGAATTGAATTGAATTGAATTGAAATGTTGTGATTTTGTGTGTCCATGGAAATTTTAAATTGATATAGAAGCAACATGATTAAAAATATGATCCAAAAGACAATTTAGAAAAAAATAATTAAATTCAAATTGAGAAAAAACTGAAACAATGTAACAAAAAGAAGAAAACTAATTCATGTGTCCCATACAACACAAACTTTAACAAAACAATAAGAAAAACATTCAAACACACTTCAATCAAATTAAGTTACAGTACAAAAATATTTTTTAAATTATACACAACAAAACCAACAAACCTACAACAAATAACACATCAAATATATACAACGCATCTGGTATCTACAAAATTAAATCCAATGGCTGTGACAACTAGTACCTTGAAAAAACCTATAGAAATTTTAAAATTAGATTTAATGAACACATACAAGCATATAAATCGAAGAACGAAACATCAGTGAAATTAAATTTTGCAGAACACCTACTAAATTCCAAACATAAATACACTAATATTGAAGACATTTTAATATTAAAAATATAAAGATATAGAAAAAAAATTAAACGTAAAATAAGAAATGAAAATTATGATCTATTTATAAAAAAAATATATAATTAAATGAATATAGTGAGCTACAAAAACAAGTCGAATATTATAAACACAATGAAACCAAAATTAAACAATTCAATATATGTACAATAGCAAAATTGAAAAAAGATATTTTGAAAATAAATACAAAAATAACATATCTATACTTATAAAAGGCAAAGCCTTTACTGACTCACTGACACACTCACTCACTCACTCACTCATCACTAACTCTCCCACTTCCCATTTTTACCTAGGAAGCTGAAATTTGGTACACCGATTCTTTAGGCATTAAATAGGAAAACTAAGTTGTTTTTATTCTGGCCGGACTCTCGGGCTCCGCCGCAGTGGCTCTGGAGTTTCCCATGTTAACCTCATGATTTTTCATATTTAAAAGGAATTAAGGGAATCTTGTCAGCTGTTTCAATTAAACAAGTTGGTTCTGTTCTATGATGTTCAATAGCATTTAAGTTACAAGGATTACCAACAGGGTGCAGCACTATTATTTTTTTTTAATTTATGAAAACAGCTAATTTGCAACCAAAAGGTGAGTGAGCGTAGCGAACGAACTTCAACCAGAACGTGATTGAGCCATGCGAACGAGCTCATCTTGAAAATTAAGAAGTTAAACGGGGCAAAGCCCGCGGGTACAGCTAGTAGTATATAAATGAATCAATGAAGACAAAAATATGTAACAAGTTAGACATTTTATAATATGTTATTGTTTATTTAAAAATTTTTATTTGACTTTTGTTTACTTTGAAAATGACTTTAGTGCTGAACCCTGGTCGGTAAGTATTAATAAATATTTTTCAAAAAAAAAAAATACATGGTTTATTACTAGTTCCCTTCAACCTCCTTGCCACAACCACCGTTTGCCCAGCACTAGATACCTCACGTGCCGGAGGTCACCCGTCACAATGTAGAGCCCAACCTCTACATCTATGCCACACACCCTGACCAAGGACCGAAGTGGCTGGCTTCTCACGACCCACTGAGAATACCCATCGGCAGTGCAGAGCACACATTAACCCCAGCAACACAACAAGGGCACTCCCAGGGACTCCCAGTGAGAGCGTCGGACACCCTTTTAGTTGCCTCTTACGACAAGCCCAGGAGGGCTGCGGTACTAATATTCTAACCCCTAAACCGCACAGGGATCCGTCTTGAGAGTAAACAGTATAAGCGTAGATATATTATTACAAGTATTATTGGATATATTTTTAGTACTTTCAGGTAATTTAATATCACGTACGATGTTGATCAAGAAGTTATTCTCTTATAATTCCAAACAAAATAGTGCAGGCCCCCATTGCTGTAAAAAATACGGTTCCACAGTTATTACAACTTTTGTGATTTTCCCCTCAAAATATCATAGTTACTCCCACCACATACCATGATCAAGGCTGTTGACAAGCTAATGGGAGAGTATGTGTCAGATTGCTGATAACGTTTATTACTTTATCCATGACGGCCAAATACTTATCTCTGACCACTTCGTGAGGTCCAACGGTCGATGGGACGTCCGCAAAAATAACACCGAATGTATCGAATGAAAATTCTCTGTTGATCCCACCGATATCAAACTATATAATCTGCGGGTACTACATTAGTTCTCTACCCGTTAGAGGCCCATGGAGGAGCTGTAAATAAACTCCAACTGGAAATTCTAACATACCATAACTATTGGACACCCTTAAAGACGCATTCAGCGAAGAGTTCCTTAGACAAAACACACCCAAACACTGAACAGGCGTACAACTTAATGCTGCAGCAACGAGAAGCATTTTCTGTCAGTAGAAACTGCAAATCTTTTCATCAGCCTTCACCAGTTGTTATCGACGAACCCATCAGAACACGCATCTACAACATCCAAGAGGAACAGCTTATAGATATGAAGTTGAGGAGCTGAAAGCCATTACAATAAAAAAAACCAGCAAGAAAGCCATTCAGTCGAAAACAAATTCAAGCTTCACATTTCATTAGAGGTTCTGAAGGATCTGGAAAATCCTTCAGTATTATAATCTTCAGTATGTTTGTTATGTAACGCAAGAAAAACATTTAACCATTACAATATGCCTCCAGTGTAAAAACACATAAATGTTATAACATTAATTATTCCTCTGATTGCAGGATTCATCATGTTGTCCACTAGGCCTATTCTCCTTCTTCTGTTGATTGCAGTCTTCTCTGTAAATGCATTATTCAGCCCGAATGTAAATAAAAATATATTGGATATTACATATAAATATTTTGAATGGTGCAGAGAAAACCCTAAGAGGCTAATTAAAAACTAAATTACTTTTAAATTAATTTTTATTGAGTAATATTTTAAGCAAATACAGGGTGTCCCGTAACTCTCTGGACACTTGTATATAGCGTTATTCCTTAGGTCAAGACAAACACATTTCACCATAGGAACATGGGTTTGTGGTGTCTAGTTTACCGACTGTCTGTATTTATGTGTTTTTTACAAAACAACTAATAACTCCTAAACGGTTTGAGATACAGCTTTGATATTTTGCAAAAATGTTAATCTTATTAAGACCTATTATCGTTAGAAATTATACTAAAAAATCATTAACCGTTTCAAAATGGCGGCCATTTAAAATATTTGATGCCAAATTTCACGAAAACCGTTAACTTTACAAAAAAATTGCAAGAGACAAAAAAGTTTGTAAATTTTATGTAGTTTTCAATGATACCTGATTTGTTAAGATTGAATAAATGATAACAGAGAAACATGTTGTTTTCTAAATGTATGACCACTTTTCTCCATTCAAACAATGCTAATACTCCTTGTACAAGTGTCCAGAGAGTTACGGGACACCCTGTATATTTCCTGGAAAAAACCAACTATGTCCGTGACTACTCCGATCGTAAATCTATTAAAACTAAATATGTATCTTATTTAAAGCAATAAACATAATACAACATATTTTCCAGTACCTATCAAACATAGCTGTATCCTAATTAATATAAATAAATCAATTACTCTTTTAGGGCTACTTTAAACTTTTTTGCTGACTTAAAAAGTTGTGGTCTTGTGACTCAGTTGGGTTTTAACCTGCACCCTTCATTTATATAGTGAAAATTCATAATTAAGTGTTTAGTAAAAACAAACAAATTTAATTGTTACCATTGTAGATAATTTTTAATATTTTTTTCATCTCCCTGGGCACTACTGTTATACAAACCATATAATTCAGATATATTACGACAATTTTCGAATTACTACAAACAAAATGCCATGACAAAAGTATTGCATAACTTTACTAAATTGTCAATGTGTTAACTAGCCTTAAAATAAAAGAATATATGTATGCTATCAACTATGCACACAAGTCTTCTAAGACTATAAAGGCGTGTCAGAGTGATTGAAGAATATCTTTACAGAGCTGGTTCTTCGGAGTCGACCGTGCATCGCAAAAAGGCCAAGCGAGTACTACAGTAGTCCAAGGGCAAGCCAGCTTTCCTCTACTCCGCGGCAACGACGGTCGTAGTCTGAACGCCAACGTACACGGAACTCAAATGTTTTCAGGTCCCTACAGCGCTCAGGCTGTAGGCGGAGGTCTGCGATATCAACAGAACGGACTGTATGCCGGCGTCGGCACCACCAACGTACGTGGTGTAGGAAACGGCTTTACCGCTACTGCCGGTGGAACCCGCGGAGTAGGTCCGGGCAATCTGTCCATGAACGTTGAAGCTACTACCAGTCCGGGCTCTTCTGGAGTGCAGGCAAAGATCGGTGCCAAATACGAGATGCAATTTTAAACACCCAGATCGATACTGTATAGACGTATAAATAAATATTACTTTATTATTGTATATCTATTATAACCTTCTAACTATCAACCACACTTTATAATTTACTGTAAATTTGTACAAGACATGATTTATAGTAAGAGATAATTTACTATAACTTTGTACAAAATGAGAGTAGCGATAAGAATCCGCGGGCCCCCCGCAAATTTTTTCACCCGGCTCCCCTCTCACAATAGCCATAAAATCCCCCATAAACCCCCATTCCCATAGTCACATCCTGCTGGTTCGCGAACTCGTTCGAATAAATGTAAGTTTACACGTTTGTACCAAATTTCATAAATATCAGATCAGGTTTGCTTGAGTAATCGTGCTAACGGTTACATATATAGATACGGATTGAACGGATGGTTTTTTTGCCTCTTGGAACCTCAAAACGAAAAAGTAAATTGGTCCCGGGTCCATGTTTTACTATGAGACCTAGCTTGAAATTCGCTAAAAGGCGAATCTGATAAAAAAATATCTATAAACAAGCAGAATCCAACAGCTTATTTATTCCCCATATAGAATAAATGGATTTTTTAAACTTTTAATTTTTCTATAACTATTAGACGGTGCCTCAACCTTGAAATCATTTAAATACATGACAAATCTATGTGCTGCCGTCTCAAAGAATTTGAAATGGATTAGGTATCCTGTCCTAACTTATCCAAACGTTTATAATTAAACTAGTAGGGTCTAAATGACTGTAATGAGCCCAAAAACAATTTATAAAAACAATTAAGGAACAAATAAACCCTGATCAAAAGAAAAGCGAGACTGTATGTGGGACACATTGTCATAGATGTCCTAATCTTAAGAGATTTATAAGTATGCATTTCTAGATAAGTATATTAAAACCTCATATACAATGAAATTTCCTTCCGAACAAGCCTTTTCCATTGCCCTTAACTATATGATGCATTACTAAAAAACTCCTAACGGAATTTTCAGAGAAGATTACGAATCAAATTATTGGAGTATACAAGTAAAGAATAAGCTAATGGAATACACAAGTAAACAACTCAGGTTTGTAAACTTTTGATAGCTGGACACAAGTATAAGCTTTTCTTTCAACTTCGCACGGGGCGATTACAATAATAACAAGTACTGAATATAGAAAGAAATTAAGGTACTTTCGTATTATACGAAGGCCACTTATTTTACAGCGCGCTGCAGCGGTTAGGTTAGGTTGGGTTATCGTAAATATGTCCTCGTTTTGTTATGAATCGAAATATACCAGATGAGTGATAACAAAATATGATAACCCAACCTAACCTAACCGCCGCAGTGCGTTATTTGGGTGGCCTCCGTATAATATGAAAGAACCAAAATTGATCAAAAACCGTTAATTTTAATTCAATCAAATCTGTGATTAAATATCCTTGTAATTATAGCTTTTATGATTGTATGTGTAAGGTTTTGCGACACTCTGGCCTCGGATTGCTCAGTCTGGGGTTTGGAAGACCTCTTTAATCTCCTAGCAAAGCTCTGCCCAACTTGTGATTCTTTCCACAGTTTAGAAAGAAAACCCAAGATCATGTTTTCAAACTCTAGTGAACATTCGTAATCAATTAGATTGTAACAAATTACGTAATATTTTATTTACATTTATAGGGTGGTTGTACAAAGTAATTTTGCTTACATAATCCTTCAACAGATGGGTGGTAAGTTATTGGAACCAACACAAGCAGTAAGCAGCAAAAGGGTTTGTATTCATTGGTGTTACTCAGTCACTGAATACAATGAAATTAAAATAACCTTTAACTTGAGTAAAATAAACTTTTTTCTGCATTTCACTCACATAAATTCCAAATTATAAGACATAAAACAGTTTTAAATGATGAAGCTCATTACTCATAAATTTTAATTGAACGCAAAAACTATTCGTGTATTTACTGATAATGTTTGGTTTGGAAGTTATTACGAAATATAGCATTTACTAGATAAAACATACTTTCCAAGAGCAAAGTATCCTTGCTCATATTTTATCTTTACGTACGTGTGTGCTGTATGCCACTTTAACTAGAGAGGTTGACAGGGGTTTCAATGCTGTTAGTGACAACTACAAGTCGATGTCATGTATGCTGTCGCTCACCATCATGGTTCATCATGGTTCCCAACAAAAAGTCTGTTATGCTTGGATACCACTACCCGAAATGCAGTTTTATCCATTCATTCATTTCAACCCTATTTTTAAAAGTTTGGTTGATAGTTCCACTAAATGATAACAACAAAACCTAGATTAATATAATAAAATACTTTAGGAGTAGTCTACCATACTTCGTTGTAATACTCACCATAAGCATCTATCTATATATTTAATACGCGACATGAAACTTTGTGAACAATAAGGCTTTTTTGTATTAAGATTTAACCCTACATATTATATACCAAAATATTCGTCTAGGTTTGTAGATGTGCAAACTGGCTTTAGATTTTCGAAATATATCTTTTTAAGGGCGTGGGCTGCCCTCAAAGTTTCTTCCATAAGGATAACATTGTGACTGATTTGAATGTTATTCTATTCTGAACAGATGTCAATACGTTAGTCAAAAAATTAAATCCCAGCTGTTTTGTTTGGTTTTGAAGTGTAAACAGTTTGCATGTTTAGAAACCCGGCAAAGAAATGTTTAGGAAACGAAGGAAGTAGTTAGGGCCGTCACCTTGGGCCTAACATGGGTTCTTATGGGGAATAGATTTACTGCCAAATCTAATGTAAATAAACTGCTTTTTTATCCCTGAGTACATTTTTATTTAATAACTGTATATTGACACTGTATAACGTGTACTTTTTAATGTGTGTAAGCTATAATCTAACTTTTAATCTTTATGTCTTTTAACTAATGTATATAATATTTATACAACATCTATATAATATTTATATTGGGAGTAGGATACCCAGCGATCGGGGCAAAACCACCCCTAGAGTGGTAGTTTAATCCTCAGGGGTAGTGAATACATATATGTTTGAATGTTAGGGGTTGTTAGGGTTAGTTTTATGTTTACATAGGAGTTACTAGTTGATCATGTGACCTTTTTATATGTAAATGAAATGAAATGAAAATGAAATGAAATGAAATGAAATGAAAAATTCTTTATTTTACCAGGCAAAGTTAGGGCCACATGGCCCTCTCTTACACTTAACCTGACAAACTTAAATATAAATAAATAAAAATACAATGACATTTCTTAATCTAATATAAAAACACATATTTAACACATCAAGTACAAGTTAACAAAAATTCAATCTATTTAACTAATTAACTAATTAAAAAAATAGTAATTATTATAAATTAATAGAATATACAACAGAAAAAACTGTCACACTCTCACACGCATACGCACCAGTAATCGCGCAAAGACGCAGAAGCCCTAGGACACGCCAGCCGAGACCATTTGCTCAAAGTAGAGATTTTTTAGTGCCGCCACAAACTGGGAACGTTTATCAAGGGATTTAATGTGTAGGGGTAGGTTGTTCCAAAGACGGCAAGCGGTAACAACAAAAGCCCTGTCATAAGCGGTGGTCACATGATGAGGTATACGCAATGTGATCGAAGAAGAACGAGAAATTCGTGTACTACCCTGAGACACAAATTTAAAATCTGATGTAAAATATTTCGGGGAGCCTGATTTCAAAATTAAAAAGACTAATGACAAAATTTTGATGGATCTTTGATAATTTAGTTTCAAGATGTTTGCCTCAAGGTAGTATGGCGTGATATGCTCCATACGTCGCAGACCATAGACAAATCTCAAAGCGTAATTCTGAGACCGCTGGAGCATATCCGCCTGAATCACAGTCATGTCATTGATCAATGAGTTGCAGTAACTGAAGTGGGGCAGTACAAGTGATTTGATCAAATGAAGTTTTGTGTGTTGTGGCAAAAAGTTCTGCAATCTTTTCAGTGAATGTATGGAGGCAAAAACCTTTTTTCGTGTGTCCGTAACTGCTGTGTCCCAAGTAAGTGAAGAGTTGAAAGATATGCCAAGATTCTTTACATTGTCAAAGTAGGGCAGTGCTTTGCCACCGACTGTGATTGGGTTTATTGAGTCTAAGTCAATTGAAGGGTGAAGTCGAGGGTGGCAGATTACAATCGGTTTTGTCTTTTCGTGATTTAGTCTCAGTCCATGATTCTCAGTCCAAGTAACTATTCGGTTAACGTCTTCATTGATCCTTCTGACACAGTCATTTTCGTTGTTTGCAGTAAAATAGTCATAGATTTGTAAGTCGTCAGCGTACATGTGGTGTTTACAGTTGGTCAAGGTCGAGTTTATGTCGTTGACGTACAGTACAAAGAGCAGTGGTCCAAGGATTGATCCTTGAGGCACACCGCATGTAACAGTCATCCAGTCTGATCTTGTGTCACCAACCTCCACACATTGCTGCCTATCTGACAGATAAGATCTCAGCCATTTAAGAGAATTCTGGGAAAACCCTATTGCCCTTAATTTCTGCACCAGCAAGTCATGATTAACACAGTCAAATGCTTTGGAAAAATCAAACAGAGTTAGAATCGTTCCCTGTCGACGCTCCATAGCAAGTCTAATGTCTTCAGTCACTCGAAGGAGTGCTGTTTCTGTACTGTGCGCTGATCTGAAACCAGATTGATAGTCAGATAGAATGTTATTTTCAGTGATGAATTCAGTGATTTGACAGTGAACGATCCTTTCTAGGCCTTTAGATAGAGCGGGCAAAATACTTATCGGCCTGAAATCCCCAACCAGAGTTGGTGCTGAGATCTTTTTTAGGGGACGGACATTATGGCAGACTTCCAAAATGAAGGGAATGAACAGTGCCGCAAAGATGCATTAAAAATGAACGTGATAGTAGGAAGGATTGCGTAGAGGATGTCTTTGATAAAGCGGATAGGTATCCCATCAGAACCGACAGCATTGCTTCGGATTCTGCGAATAGCCATGTATGTAGGTATTTTTATTAAACTATTTTGTGGATAATAAGTGTGTGCCTTGACCGGGTATTGACCCCGGGTCTCCTAGACGATGGTTTTTATGTCTTAGCCATC